GCCCCCCTCCCCTGGCCCCCCGGCCAAGGGGCCCGCCGCCCACCACCACCACCCCCCTCTGCATCGGCCGGCTCAGGACTTACGGAAACAGGTAAGGCCTGGCAGGTGCCTCGGGGTGTCCTGGAGCCCTCCCCACACTCAACCAGTTAGAGCCCCACCCAGAGGGCTAATGAGCTGGGGGCTGTGATGGGAGGTGAGACAGGGAGAGAGACAGCACCTTTGTGCAGAGGGGCCGGTGCACACGCCTGCCTTGCGGTCCCACACAGCTGGAATGCACGTGGGTTTGCCTTCACACTCACCCCAGGGCGCCCCTGAACCCACCAGGTGCCTTTACCGGAATGCAGACCCTTACTCCGCCCAGCCCTGGGTGAGTGTCGAGGCTGCGAGCCCGAGAGGAGCTCGGGCAGGGGCACTAGCACAGGCCATCAGCCGGCCTCAGCTGCAGCCCTCTCTGGACGGCCCTGGTCTGGGTGTCCTTTTAAATGTGACACGTGAGTCACGTTGCAGGACGTGGAGCGGGAGGCTGGCAAGGGCACACGCACTGTGGGGACAGCTATGCCTGCCTGCTGCCCAGTGCCCGACCCTGGGCCGGGCGAGACCCTCCGTCCAGTCGGGACAGTGGGCGAGAAAGCCCCAGGTAGGGAGGGTCCATGCTCCCCTCCAGCTTCTCCTGTCCCTGGGCTGCTAGTGCTCCCCGTGCTGGGTGGTAGGTACCTGAGACGAGGCAGATGGCAAACGACGGCCCCTTGCGGTCCTGTCCCCACGCCCACTCCCGTTTTTGGGTATAGGAATCTGGGGTTCTTGAGCTTTCCCCGCCAGGAAGTCTGACACAGAGTGAAAATCCTCCCTGGAGTAGACTCGAGACCGTGTTCTTTACAGATGAGCAGACCTGGAGGAGATCTGAGCGATGGTGTCCTAGACTAACCAAAAGGTGGCCACTGCAGAGTGGATAGATGGGAATTCACCCTGTGTCAACTAACCTGTTCTTGGTGACACTCAGAATATGGATGTCCTGGTCTTCCCACGCAGGCGCTGGGGGCGTGTGCACAGGCGTGTATCTGTCGTCCACCCGTGCCCCTCCAGTGCCACTCAGCTCTTCAGTTTAGGTGGACTGGGCAAGGCAGGCGTCACCATTCAGGTCTCCAGTCCACAGCACCGGGGCGTGCCTTCTGGCGTTACCTTGAGGTTAGACAAGTGGTCACAGCAGGGTTTAAACCCTGGGCTGGGGTCTCAAAGCGGAGCACCTGGTGTTCCCTGAGTCAGCAGCTGAGAGTGAGGCCCCCAGACCTGCCCGTCGACCTCAGTGGCCCCGGCCCCTGACTCAGTACTGAGAGGTGCAGGGCGTGGGTTCTGTGTGTGCTGTGGCCCCAGGCCCAGTCTCAGCGCCGCTGGCCTGATGGCAGCTAGTGCAGAAGCCTCCCCAGGCATGTGTGCTCATGAGAGAGCATGTAAGAAGGGACTGGGTGTGGGCCAGCAGGTGGCGTGGTGGTTAAGACGCCGGACTCCCTCATGGCCAACCACGGTTCGAGTCCTGGATCTAGTGGCTTGAAACTCACACCAAGTGTGTGTGCGTGCCTAAAGCCCCGAGAGAACAGAGAAGGGATTTCCGCCTGGCCATTCCCCTGGGGGTGACTTGCTGCTTTTCTCTCTGTCTCTCCCCAGTGAGTGCATGAGTCCTATGGCCAAAAAAGGCATTGGGGCGGGCAGTTGGCGGCTCTGCTTGGCCTGCGATCCTGCATGCCGTCCGCTGTCCTCGCCCCAGGGTCAGGTGTCGTTTACGTGTCTCTGCAGCGCGTTGTGCGTTTTAGGAGACCCCTGGGACATTCCTGATTTGGGCCACATCAGAAGTGCATCCAGACACGTGTCACAGTCTTTCCTTTCTGCCCCAGATGGAGACGCGCACACATGCATGCACACGTGCGTGCACACACATACCGTCACGCAGTGGTTGGTTCCAGTCGTCCCTCTCTAGCTCATCTTAAACTCACGGTCCTCACCCTTCCGTCAGGTCAGGGTCCCCATGTCTCTGGGAGGGGGCAGCTGCACAGCAGCACCTCCCGGGGTGGCCTGTCCCACGCAGTCCCCATGGGGTGGCTCCTGGAGCTTGTGCAGTGGCAGAGCCTGGGCTTGCTGCCAGGGTGTGGGGAGGCTGTTCCGGCACATGCTGAGCCTGAGAGTGGCCGCCCTTTCTGTCACCGTCCTGCCACCCTCCCCAGTCCGATCCCCCGCGTCGGGTGACCTGAGCTTCTGGTTCCAATTTGACTCTCACCTTGACTTTCGTGGGACTTGGATGTGGCATTTAACCTTCCTGGGCCACTGTTCTCTGGCCACGAGCTCCCTGGGACTTGGATGTGGTATTTAACCTTCCCGGGCCATTGTTCTCTGGCTACCAGCTCCCCTTGCTGGGACACTGTGTGAAATGAAAGGGTAATTTCGAAACCATCAGATCTCATTAGTTAAGTACTCCAAAAATAAGGTCAATAAAAGCAAATTGTAGATTCCATTGTGACTGCGGGATGCAAGTGATTAGGCTCCGACCTTTCATCTTTACAGCTTTGTAGAGGATAAGGCCCAAAGGGTAATCTGATCTTCCATTTCAGATATGATTTTCTTTTTTAATGTCAGCATGAGAGCGAAGGGTAAACGTGACCCGTGTGGTGTGCACACCGGCTGAGGGGCATTGGTGGTAGAGGGTGCTGCTGGTTGTGGGGACTCCCTAGAGGTTGCTGCTGGTGGTGAGGCCTCCCGGCTGAACTACCCTGCCATGAGCCCTCCTCACTCCCATCATCCCTTGCAGCTGAGCTTCAAGAGTCCATGTATGATGCGTGCCGTGAAGAAGCATGAATGGTTGCAGTGAATTTTTTTTTTGCACAAAAACAAACTTTTCTTGGGAACCAGCAGTTAGCGTAATGGCTATGTCGCTGGACTCCCACGTAGTCGACCGCGGTTCGCGTCTCGGACCCGGTGGCTTGGATCTCACGCCGGGCGCGTGTGCGTGCGTGCCCAAGATCCCGAGAGGAGAATGGAGGAGAAGGGATTGCGGTGTGACCATCCCCCCTGGGGGGTGATTTCTCGCTTTCTGTCTCTATGTCTCTCTCTGTCTGTCTGGCGAGCGCACGCGCCCTATAGCGAAAACCTCTCCAAAAAAAAAAAAAAAAAAACTTTTCTTTTAGTTCCATTTTCCATGAACCGTTCGAACCTCATTTGTTCTTTGTAAAGGCCTGTCCCCAAGGTTTAGAATATGTGAGTGTGCATTCACCGGGACCTTTTTCTGCCCACTGCGGTAAGATCAAGGGGGCGTCTCTATCCTGGGATCCCCAAAGTCTGAATGATGCTTAGAATAGGCAGAAGGGCTCGCCCTCGCGATTTGAAAGTAAATTTTCTAAGACGGTCCCAAGGTTCTGTCCTGTGATCGCAGCCTGTGGTCCATATACCAAAGCACCATTGGGTGTGGTCTCCTGTGGTTCTCTGAGTGTTAGGCTGAGGCCTCTCTCCCACTTGAAGTGCAATCCCCCCCCACACACACACACACACACTCCCCTGACCCCCGCAGCGGCAGCCAGCGGAGGCCCGGGCAGGGCAAGTTGCTGATCGTGGTTCCTGGAGGTTTTCCCATGAGTGTGCTGGGGTTCCAGAAAAGTTCTAGCCCTGTGAGATTCAGAGAAGGCCAAGGTTTGGAAATATTCTTTTAACATTTCTCTAAAATGCAAAATGAATATCCCGAGGGGAAAGCAGTCAGGAAAATCGCCTTAGCTGCAAGAAATGTTTGAGGCCTTAACTCTGCTTCTAATGAGATTGCGCCTGCAGTTCGGGGCGTTTGGAGCTGGGTAATCCTGACCCCAGCTGCCTGCAGCGAGAGCAGGTGTCACAAGGACATCCAGGGTCCCCACTGGAGCCAGGCTCTAGTTCCAGAACGCTTGGCTCTGTCTGCCCAGCGTCCTTGCCCGCCTGTTGCCGTGGTCAGGCTTCCCTCCCCGTCCATGGCTCGCTGCCTGTCCAGGTTGGCTCTATTTAGTTGGGCTCTTCTGGTTTTGTTTCCACTTTGAGTGTAAAAATGGATTAACCCCTGCCGGTGGCTGCAGTGGGGACTGAGTCCTCTGGCTCGTTGGCTCCCTCTTGTGGGTAACAAGAGCGTGACACTGGGCTCCTGGTTGAACTGAGGACAGTGACTTCATCATGGATGACTGAAACCGTGTTGTTAAGTTAGGCCAAAACATCATCTAGCCATTCCTCATCGTCCCTGCTTCCGATAGGCAGCTTTTTCTATTTCTCTCTCTCATTAAATTGAGTCGATTTAAATAATGAGCATAGTTTATGGAGGGGTGGGTGGAGGAAACTTGTGTTCTTACAATATGTTTTAGTACACAGTGTAAGCTAGATGTGATTTTACAGATGGGATTTCTAGTATTAAAAACATGTCAGGGGGACCAGCAGGTGGCATGGTGGTAAAGGCACTGAACACTCCCACGTGGCTGACCATGTCTTTTGTTGGAACAGGACTATCTAGGAACTCCAGAACATTCGTGAAAAAGATGCACTTAAAGTGCATCATTTCTATGGTGCAAGAAAGTTTTGTAGTCACGCGTGTTTCCCCCCCTTTCCCCTCCCATGGCCTTCGGGAAGGCCCGTGCGTGTACATGTGTGTTCATCCCTGTTCCTCTTACGCACCGTGAGCCGCTCGGCGTACCTGGTTCCTGGAAGAGCATGGGAACGAACGCACATTGCTTGGAAAACACCCTGGGGTCCCCCCGGGGCTGGCTGTGTGTGCCTTCATGTGCAGAAGGCTGTGGGGTGTGCAAGGACTCGGGGACTGTGTACCACAGTCAAAGTCGTCATTTTTGTTTATGTCTTTGAAGACACACACACACACACACACACACACACACACAGTCCGCCTTCCAGGGTCTTCGTGTTCCTATCACCCGTCTCGGCCCGCCCAGGTCTCGGACACACACTTGTCCTGTGTGCTCAGAGTCCTGCGACCTTTCTTTCGGGGCGAGTGTCCTTGCTGCACCACCATCTGTCCCTTGGAACGTGTTAGCGTCCCCTTGTCCCCTCGCTGGTTTCCCGTCCCCTCCCGAGAGCAGGTGCCAGCTCTGCTGTGCCGCCCACCCCGAGGCCCTCCTCATGCCAGCGGGTCGCCGCCGCCGTCCTGCAGGTAGTAACGCTGTTCCTTCTCCCCTCTGCCGCCTCCTCAGGTCTCTAAGGTCAACGGAGTCACTCGCATGTCATCTCTGGGTGCAGGTGCAGCCAGTGCCAAAAAGATGCGCGAAGTCCGACCTTCACCCTCCAAAACTGTGAAGTACACTGCCACAGTGACGAAGGGGACTGTCACGTACACCAAAGCCAAGAGAGAACTGGTCAAGGAAACCAAACCCAATCACCACAAGCCCAGTTCAGCTGTCAACCACACAATCTCAGGGAAAACTGAAAGTAGCAATGCAAAAACCCGCAAGCAGGTGCTATCCCTCGGGGGGGCGTCCCGGTCCACCGCGCCCGCCGTCAATGGCCTCAAGGTCAGTGGGAGGTTGAACCCAAAGTCATGCACTAAGGAGGTGGGGGGGCGGCAGCTGCGGGAGGGGCTGCGGAATTCCAAGAGGAGACTGGAAGAGGCCCAGCAGGCGGAGAAGCCGCAGTCGCCCCCTAAGAAAATGAAAGGGGCGGCCGGCCCCGCCGAAGCCCCCGGCAGGAAGGCCCCGGCCGAGAAACCGCTGCTCAACGGACACGTGAAGAAGGAAGTGCCCGAGCGCAGCGTGGAAAGGACCCGGCCGAAGCGGGCCACGGCCGGGAAGAACACGCCAGGCAGACAAGCACACGGCAAGCCGGACAGCGTCCCCTGTGAAAATCGTTCTACCTCGCACCCGGAGCCCTCGCACAAGCCGCACGACTCGGCGGCCAAGGCCGAGAAGGGGGGCGGCAGGTCCGGGTGGGCGGCCATGGACGAGATCCCCGTGCTCAGGCCCTCCGCCAAGGAGTTCCACGACCCGCTCATCTACATCGAGTCGGTGCGCGCTCAGGTGGAGAAGTACGGGATGTGCAGGGTGATCCCCCCTCCGGACTGGCGGCCCGAGTGCAAGCTCAACGAGGAGATGCGCTTCGTCACGCAGATCCAGCACATCCACAAGCTGGGCCGGCGCTGGGGCCCCAACGTGCAGCGGCTGGCCTGCATCAAGAAGCACCTCAGATCTCAGGGCATCACCATGGACGAGCTCCCGCTCATAGGTAAGGCCGCGCCGGCCGCCGCAGGGCCTGGGCTGAGCTCTGGGGTGGCTTCCCCCTGTGCATCCCCCCTAACTGGGCCAGCACCTGACACTGGGCACCGCTGAGGTCAGAGCAGGGGATGGGAGCGCTGCCCCCCGGAATCGCCCGCTGGACCTGCTGCGGCAAAGTACACTTTGTAACCCTGCATGGCTCCATATGGTTCTGGAGGCTCGAAGTCCGAGGTCAGGGTGTCGGCAGGCGCCTCCTGTACTGTCTGTCCTCGGCCTTTCAGTCTGGTCCCTGCGTCCTCACCCAGCCTCTTCTCCATAATCCTGTGCTCTTATCTCTTAAGGTTGTTGCCATGGGCACAGGCTCTTGGTAGAAAGAGAGACCGGAAAAGTGAGAAATTACTCCCCGGGGGGATGGCCACGCCACAGTCATTTCTCTTCCTGGGATTTTAGGCACACATGCATATGTGCCTGGTTTGATTTTTCAAGCCACCAGGTCCAGGACTTGAACTGTGGTCAGCCACGTGGCAGTCCAGGACTTAATCACAGCGCCACCTGCTGGCTCTCTTACGTCTTTTTATCAGGACAGCTGTCCTGTTGGATAGAGCCTAACTATGCAATTAACCCCCTCATACTGGGTTGTCAGAAAAGTCATAATGTATTTTTTCATGCAAAAATGTGTCCTGACTTTTCCGGTGACCCAGTAAGTACTCAGGTACTCACACCCTGCCATGTTCTGGGGGTTAGGACCTCTGCATGTGAGTTGGGGGCTTTTACCATTCAGCCATCACCTGTCAGACCTCAGGCCGTTTTTTTTCATCCTCTCTCACCTCGTCCTCATACAAGGCAAGGGGTCAGGGGACACGTTGAAATGTTTCCTAGGCACATTTGTGACTGGGGCTGTTACCCATTAGCCATGGCGACACCTTCAGGGGACCCACACCCTGGCAGTGGCAGAGACCATGGCTGCACAGCAAGGGTCCCAGGCAAAGCCACCTAGAGCTGTCACCCTCCTGTCCCCTCTTCCCCTGCCTTTGGCCCTTGCAACTGACGGGGTACCGGCTCACCCAGGCCAAGTGAGTTGCAGGGTCTGTGCTCCTGGTGTCCAGTAAGGCCCCACATCCCCTCTCCACCCTAGACCTGTGGCAGGAAATGGACGTATCTTCCTCTGGGAGGTCCCCCGGTAGGGAGGCACTTGGCTGTCACCTGAGTGTCAACATTTGTGGCAAAGGGACCAGCAGCTGGTGTATGGCTATGGCGTGGGACTGCCATGTAGTCAACCGCAGTTCAAGTCCCAGACCCGGTGGCTTAAACTCACCCCAGGCGCATGTGTGTGCATGCCCAAGATCCCGAGAGGAGAATGGAGGAGAGGGGATTGCAGCATGGCCATCCCCCATGGGGGGTGATTTCTCTCTTTCTTTCTCTCTTTCTGTTTGGCTTTCTGGCGAGTGCACGTGCCCTATAGCAAAAACCTCTCAAAAAACAAAAACAAAAACCAATCTGTGGCCAAGACTTCTTTGCAAGATGGAGGTCTCATGGCTCGTCTCTGCGGGTACCTGCCCAGGCCCAGCCTTAGCGAGAACTAGGTCCTCGGGAAGGCTCTGGGTTTGTGGTCTGTGGTCGGACAGTGGCTCAGGGAAGCCACTGCTTCACATCAGGCGTTGTGGTGTTGATGGTGCCGTGACCCACCCGAGTCCCCTGGTCTGGAGCGAGAGACCTGCAGAGGGCAGCTGTGGTCTGAGCACCCCAGCCTGGTGGATGGTGGTCGTGGGAGGACGTAGAGTGCCCCGGTGACACTGTGATGACACTCGGTGGCCTCTTGTTCAGAGCAGGCTTTTCTCCAGCCCAGTCCTTGCCCAGCACTGGCCACGTGGCACTGCCCTGCACGATGCGTGTCCTCGCACTTCACTGTCACCCAGCACACGAGCACAGCAGGGCAGGGTCCTGATGCAGCTGGTGAGTGTGGTGGCCTCGAGATCTGAACACCACAGCGTAGCTGGGGTGGCCCCAGGAGCTCTGATGTTCCTTCCAGGAGCCTGGACGTGGGGTGTCCACGGGCTGTCCACCTCACGGCCCTGTGAGTGCAGGAGTGCCAGAGGCAGGGATTCGGTCAGCCTCTCTGCGATCTCTGGCCAGGTGTCCTTGCTGTCACCTTGCAGAGGTCCTGGGGAGCAGGCGGGAGCATGGACTCCTCTCCCCTGACCTGGCCTTCTCCTGGCCCGGTCCAGGGCACGGCCTTCCCCGTCCATCTCTGTAGGACAAGGCCGTGTGCTGTCACTCTCAGGCAAACCCCCACTAGTTAGGGACCCAGCTCGGAGCTCGCCTTGTGACTTGGAAATCAGTAAGACCTGAAGTGAGTCATGGAGTCTTGGACCTCAGGTTCCTGCTGTCCGACACAGGGGCCCATTTTTATTTGCTGAGGTGGCCCCACGGCCAGCCACCCCGTCTTCCCCCGAGGGGCAGTGGGGTTCGGGCTTCACGCTGCCGTGCTGGTCTCACTGCTGGGCACCACCGAACATGGCCGGGGTCTCAGACGCCACGCCTGCAGGCCGGGCCAGCCCCGGACTCTGATGCAGTTTTCACGCAGACTGAGAGTGTAGACGGAGCTTTTCCTTTCCACGCTGGTGAAGGCGTATTCCCACCGTCCACGGTGCCACGTGAATTTTCCTTTGCTTGCCCCGACTCTGTGGCAATTACGTGTAGGCTTCGCCCTCCCCTTCATTGGTCATGAGGGTGCTTTTCCCGTTCCCATCCAGATGGAGCTGGGGGGTGCGTTTGCACACCCTGCGGCTGGGTCTGAGATACGCAGTGCCACTTCCTGCACCGGCCAGGCAGGGCCGAGGGACCCATAGCCACCGTGACCCCATCGTACATGTCACCCTCCCCTGCCAGTCTGGTGCGGCTGGAAGCAAACCACCCTCGTTTGAGTGAGCGAGTGGTGGGGGTTGTGAGGAGGGGGTCGGGGTAAGGAGCTGTGTGTGCTCTGTGTGTGTGTGTGTGTGTGTGTGTGTGTGTGTGTGTGTGTGTGT